GTTTTTTTTTTTCTTCTTTCTTTCGGTGAATGAATCATTATCATTTTAGAATTTCAAGTGTTATTGGTTTAATTTTTCAATCCTAACCTTATTTGTGGACAAATTCTATGGTCGTGGTGTATATAATACAATTTCGTTCCTCCTATTTGATATCTCAATTTGATGGTCGAGGGCCTTAAATTTTTTAAGACATTGTGTTAGTTAACTAGGGTTCAACCATAACATAACAACTAGGGGTCCTATTTAGTATGAGTTTAACCCTGACAAATTTATGAAGAGACTCTCTTTAATTATAATTTAACTATGAAAATTTTGAGGTAATGAGTGACTCAGTTTACCATTTCACACATATTAAAAAATATATATAAAAGTAAGAGAGAAAATAATATTTTTATTATAATACCTCTTATCATGTATTGAGAATGATGAAATTTTTATTAATTAGAGAATACAATTGAAAAAATGTATTGGAAATTGAAATGAATCTTTCATCTTGGGACACTTTTATTTCAAATGAGTCACTTATTGTGAGACAGAAAGAATATGGTGCTATGTTGTCTCCTGAATTATTTAATCAGATTCGAGGAGTAATTTCATTGGAGATCTGCTCCATAATTTATTATAAACAATAAATTTATTAATGACCTTGAAATCAACCATCATCCTTTAATTAGAAAATATGAATATTTCCTCTGCAGACTGGACAGTTAAGATCAACCATTTTGTTAGATCTAAGAATGAGTGTGCTAATTTTCTTGCATATTTGAGATTTATTTTAACTAAGGATTGTACGAACTTGGAGATCCTCCTACTGAGCTTTTTAGGCTCATGTGTATATTGATCTTTAAGTGGATTAGCCTTCAACTTAGTTTTTCCTGTGTTGTGTTATGTTTTCTTGGAGAAATATAAGGGACGGAAACCATCGAATTCAAGCTGGGTAGATGAAATGGAGGAAGGTTTCCGAGGTTTTATGTGACACAAAGGTACCACTCAAGTTGAAAGGAAAATTTTATTAGACTGCAGTAAAACCTGCAATATTGTATGAGACAAAATGTTAGGCAGTTCAAAATCAACACGAGAATAAAGTAAGTGTAGCAGAGATGACGATGTTGCGTTGGATGTATGGTAAGACTAGATAAAATAAGATTAGAAATGACAATATTAGAGAGTGTTGGGATAACACATATAGTAGAAAAGAAGTGGAAAATAGATTTAGGTGGTTTGAGTATATAGAGAGAAGACATGTAGACTATGTGCTAAGGAGAGTTGATTGGGTGGAAAAAAGTTAAACAACTAGAGATAGAGAAAGACCTAGAAAATCTATAAGAGAAGAGAAGTTATTAAGAAAGATCTCGAGATTAGCGATTTGAATAGAAGCATGATCCGTGATAGAATGTTAAGTTGATTCATGTAACCGACTCTACTTAGTAGGATATGACTTAATTGTTGTTGTATTTTCTTGGGCTTTTAGATCAACCAAAAACGGGCCAAAATTGTGTATGGGATAAAATAGAGGTACCAACACTGGATTTAAGCCTATATTGATTAAGCTTTCTTATCCACTCCCTCCATTTTGTGTTAAGTCATTTGTGGTTTTAATGCATAAATTAAGAACTGCAATTAATATCATAAATCTTAGAAAAAAAATTGTATACACTGTACTTTTCTAAATTATTGTTTACAAGAATATCAAAAGAGATGTTAATTATCATTAAGGGTATAGAAGAAAACAAATAATTAAATTTCATTGCTTCTGTGCATAGAAAAGTTTGAGCAGTTTGAGTAGGATTGTTTATTTCTAGCTTGATAGAATTATAGTATAAATGTTTTATCAGTATCATATTTTTACTGAAATCTTGGAAACGGAAATGTAAATTTGTTCACTCTTCAGATCATATATAATATTCCTTTTACAGCATGAATGAGTTCTTTGAAGTGGAACTAAAAGTTCGCGATTATGAATTGGATCAGTTTGGTGTGGTCAACAATTCGGTTTATGCAGGTTATTGCCAACATGGTGAGACCTCATGAGTTATTTACATTTAGATTTCCAATACCACAAACTGTTACTTTTATCTGAAATTTATGTTGAGATCACCTTTTCTATTTAGAAACCTTTTGTTTTCATGTAATTGAAAACAGGAGTTAATTTTGAACCGTCTACAAATCTAAATGAAAACAAAAGTTTGAAGTGGTATAATGCAAACAGCAGTGCTGCAGTAGTTTGATGACTTTAGGATCAAAATGTTATTTAGAGTCAGTATCTTTAAATCCTTTCTCAAGGGAAAAAAATATATAGTATGATTTGTAGTCTTGAGCAAATGACTTGAGTTTAGCCTTGCAGTCCATATTTAAATTTACTCATGTCATGAGAATCATTTTGGTAATCAACAAATGTAGAGCAGCATAAGATACAATTTGTATATTATTTTTTATTCATGATTAAACAAAGTTATAGACTCGATAATCATATTAAAAAGGAATGTCATTGGTCTTGACCTTGATTCAAGGGAGTTATTGACAATTTATGGTTTGATACTTGAGGTGTTGTCTAAATCTTAGATTTTTCGAGTCACATAAAAACTTTTCTGTTCAGATTTGGATGCATTCTACAGTTGTTTGACACTGTTAGTTTCTTTTTGTTCTCTGAAGTATATATATGACACCTTTTCATATCTTGGCTATGGTTTTAAATGTTGTCCCTCTTAACTCATAGTTTATATTGTATTTATTTATAAATATCTTCATAAGGTCGTCATGAATTCTTGGAAAGCATTGGTATTAATTGTGATGCTGTGGCTCGTGGTGGTGATGCATTGGCATTGTCAGAACTATCCTTCAAATTCTTTGCACCTCTAAGAGTAAGTAATGCCAAATTTGTTTGTCATTTGTGTTTGTTAATTGTTAGGTATAATCTCTTTATGCAAAGTAGTACTCTAAAAGGATTATGTAATATTGTATAGCATAGATCTGTTTGACAATGTTTGTTCTTATTCTAAAAATAACTTGCTACCAGAGTGGTGACAGATTTGTCGTAAAGGTCAGGGTTTCTGGCTCTTCAGCTGCTCGTATATACTTTGATCACTTCATCTATAAGCTACCAAACCTAGAGGTCTATTTCCATCACTTATAGTTTACAATTTTTACCATCTTTGAAAATATTTGTTGATATTTGGTGAATTTGATGACAGCCTACTTTGGAAGCCAAGGCCACAGCGGTGTGGCTTGACAAAAACTATCGTCCCATTCGAATTCCGGCAGATATTAAGTTGAAGTTTGTTAAATGTATTCGGAGAGAGAACTCTTAGTCCATCTTTCACATGAACATTTGATTGATAGATCACTGAGAAAGTAAACAGTTTTTTGTACTTGACTTCAATTTGGCATGTGGACGGGCAAGGAGGTAGAAGCAGCACCGTTCTGTAATAGAGGTTTGTGTAATTTTAAATAATTTAAAACCTAATTTAAACCACAATTCTAGCAATATTTTCTTGATGCCTAGTAAAATACAGCACAGGGACATTTTTCCCTAGTTTGAATCTGTAGGTTCTATAAGGCTTTCATTCTCATTGTTCCTTACCAACTATTAAGGGCTATGCAGCACCAACACCTTTGGAAAAAAAAGTGTTCGTGTGTATCGACACCGACACCACACCAACACTTGTGATTACATTCAATTTATTTATTTTTTCAAATTATTACTGATGTTGACATGTCAATGTTGTGTCCTATCCGTCCTTCTTAAATTAATAGCCTGTTTGGTTTGGGGTTTCAACAACCAAACTCACGTGTTTATGTAACTGTACCGTGATTTTAAAGAAGCTCCAAAAGGTAGCTTCTGTGTACATGTGGAAACCCACCGCAATTCTAATCCAATGCTAAACCAAACATAGCATAGGGGAGATTAAGGGTGGAGGAATTACTTGTTTGAACCATTTTTTCTTGTTTATACATGCTTAGTTGCTCTGAGGTATTGGTGTAAAGTTGTTGAAAAATATTGGACAGTGTGAATCAAGTCCTCAAACATTATAAACTACAGAAGAGGCTTTTAGCTTCAAATATGGCAACCTTTAAAACTTTGGGACTATAAGGTTTGTCGTATATTGTGCAATTGTTTTCTAAATGAGTAAACTATTGATCAGTCCCATATGGATTTTTTTAGTAGTTTATTATATTGATGGTATTATATTAGTTATCTTTTAAATTATAGATTTAGAATACATTAATTATGATGCAGGGTGGGTGTTGAATTTAACAATAAACTGTACAAGAATAGTATGGTGCTATATAATCAAATGGAATAGTTGAATATAAAGTTTGTCTTGAAGTGGAATAATTTATTGTTTTGGTAGCATTTCGTTGTAAGTTGTGTATTTTGCAAAACATGTGTAGTGTAGGTCTATATGATTATTGTTTAACTTGAAAAGATAACAAATTTAGGGTATAATACACAAATATACAATTATACCAACACTAAAACTGTAGCAATGACAAATCTTAGCTAAAACTGTAGGATGTTTATTGTTCTTTCACTGCAGATACTTGTCTCAATTATCGTTTTGGTTTTATACTTAAACTCTTAAAGCATATAATCATTTACGTACTTGTATAATGTATATCTAAAACGTGATTTCTTTTCCTTAAAAATCAATAGGTCAATGCAATTATAGGCCTGGTTATTTTCCCACCTAAATAATTATCTGTTGATTGAACACATATAATTATTTATTGTCTAATAAACATAACAAACAAAACCAATGACTTGGAGCATCTCTCGTGCAGAAACTTTCTTCCTTTGTTTACATACCAACCTACAAGTTGTACTATTCAAATGACTCAAAATATAAAATATAGTTTTCGTCAAATATTTATAATAAAAATATCGTCACTCACATCCTTGCATTGAGCCTATAAATTAGTTGCTGTGAGTAATAGCTACACAAGAGAAACATTTCTGTAAACAATACGTCACTGAAACTGAGCTTTATCTTCCGAGAGTAATGTCAACAAATTATCTTCCACCACCATCACCGGATACACCTTCGCCTCCATACCTGACGGTGCCGATGCCTTGGTCACCGGGTCCACCTATGCTAACATGGCCACCACCTATATCATCAGATAAGTTATCATCTGATGACTCTTCTTCTTCAACATCAACATTTGGCATCGTTATTGGTGTTGCTGCCGGGGTCCTAGGTGTTCTTTTGTTGTTTGCGATTTGGCACAAGTATCTTAGGAAGAAAAGTTGTTATTCAAGATCAAAGTGTTAGTTGGAATCTTTACACATCTTAATTCAGTCCTAGGTGTTCTTTTGTTGTTTGCGATTTGGCACAAGTATCTTAGGAAGAAAAGTTGTTATTCAAGATCAAAGTGTTAGTTGGAATCTTTACACATCTTAATTCATGTATGCACCGTAAAATTATATTTCAAAAATTTTAATGATACTGTGTATTCAAAATTTCAATTTGAAACATTTGATTTAAATTAGAAGAGACGTTTACCATATCATTCAAGCATTCTAGGATGCTAAATCCTCACGTCTCTTAACACGAAAGCGTGATTGGGGAATAAAGCTAGATATATAAATTAAGTCGAGCAATTAATAACTGATAATAATAGACACTACAAGGAAGTATCATTGATGAAAAGCGAGAGGATAACAAATCTCTTATATCCAGTAATATTTGTTGAAAATTGATTTAACTACAAGGTTCAATGAATATTATGTTGGTTGATTAACTTGTGTTTGAGTTTACATTACATAATTTTTATCACTGCAATTTTAATTGAGGAAATTGAAATATTTTTATTTTGAATTTAATTGATATATACTGACAGTGTAAAACAGTTTTGAATTTTATTTTAATTATTTATAATTTAATATTTGTGAATGATTGTGATGCACGGTTTGTGTAAAGAATTTTACATTGTCAGTGCATAATAATTAATCTCTTTTATGTCATTTATATTTATTAATTAGTTATACTATTGATTTTAACAAATATTTTAAATTTAATTTAATATTTTAAAGACTCAAATTTCTAAAGACAGTGTGTTTCAAAGAAACAAAGTTAGAAGATCTGAAGATAATATTTCTACTGAAGTCCAGATGCTAAAAACTTAATTTCTAAAAGATAACTTGTTTTAAAGAAGACAAAGTTAAAAGATCTGAAGACAACGTTTCTACTGAAGTCCAGATGCTGAAGATTTTGTGTTTCTAATAACAAGGTTCTTAAAAGGATTCTTAAAGAACTAAGTGCTAAATATTCTAAAGACGGAAATTCTAAAGATTTCAAAGACTTGAAGTTCTATAGATCCAAGGTTCTCTACAACGGGTTCTCAAGACCAAGTGCTGAAGACTCTAAAGACGTAGCTCTTAAGACTCTGAAGAGTTGAAGCTCTTCTGATTCAAGGTTCTCTACAACGGGTTCACACGACCAAGTGCTGAATACTCTGAAGACGCAGTTCTGAAGACTCTGAAGACTTGAAGTTCTGAAGACCTTATGTTATGTTTCCGCTTCTAAATTTATGCTCACAGAAGCCTCTGAAGTACAGAAAGAAAGAATATAACGGTAACATGGTACAATAGTACACAGTATGAAAAAACCTTATTCCACTACCTCTCCACTAGCTTGAACCGTGGAAGAGAAAATGACGTAGCAGTACTATTTGTAATGACTCTTTTTCAAATAGCCAACGACTCTTTTTGTTTGGCTATATAAGAAAAGAATCGCATGTTTTTAGTTGGTGTTCAATGTTAAAAATAAAAGTTGTCATTATTGAAACACAACCAAAAAGATATTAACCACTATAACAACAACAAGAATAATTGTTATCAAAATGATTCTTCAATCATGCTGATAATGATTACAATGAAATCATTGATTCACAATGTGTTTAATTTCATATGATGCACAAAGTTTGCTAAGTCGCAGAAGATAATGAAGATGATCATGAAAGCTCCAATTATAAATCCACAACACAAATGTTGTGCTCTAAAGTGATCACGGAAGAAAATAGAACAAGGAATGTTGTCCAGAATGTTCTAAGGTGAATCAAGATGAAGAATTTATTCTCTTTACTACATCAAGATCAACGAAGCTTCCAGAAACTTATGAAGAAGAAGACTTCACCAATTCAAGTGCTTTGGACTGTTGTCCGTGAAGAAACTACTTGAAGAAAAGAAGACCACACATTGATGCTACAATAGAATGTAATACTTCTAATGTGTATTAGAATCTTCTGATGTAAGCTTAAATTCTGTTTACATCCAACTTGCTTAGAAGCGTATTATTGTAAACAAATGTAAATCAAACAATTGTTTGGTGATACTTTGAGAGACTAAGTGAAGGTCTTTTCTCAAGAAGATAGTGACTGAAGGTCATTATGAAATCCTGGTAGTGGATTCTACTGGATCAATGGTAGTCATATTTCAAAGGGGACTAAGTGAAGGCCAGCCTTGTGAGTTCACTGATGGATATCATTGGAAGAAAATCATGGTAGGAGATTCTGAGGGATCAAATTCTATTGGATCAATGAACGTTATATTCAGTCTGAATCATTGAACGTGTCATTGGATGTTAGTCATAGGCGGTTGCCCATGCGATTGTAATCAGATTGATTATAGTGGATTAAGTCCTTGAGTTCAAGACGAAATCACCTTGGTAGGGTGGACTGGACTAGCTTGGGAGTTTCTCAAGTGAATCAGGATATATCACGTGTTCTTTATATTTTCTTATGCTTTAGAGTTTATGTTTTATTAACTTAATTAAAAGCATTACTTAGAAGTAACACTCAGAAGCATTGTTCAACAAATAATGCTTAGAAGTGAAAGTTATTCAAGAAAGGAAAATTCAATTCAAACCCTCTCTTTCTTGTGTTTTCTTCACACCTTTAGACAAGTCCTTGTTTCCATGTATCTAGCCTTTCGCTTGCTTCTATGTATCTCTTTTTCAAAGATCAAATAAGTGTTCAAATCAATTATAGCCTTATTTTGAATATCTGTCAAACCCTCCCCGGGTATCTTCATAAAAATTGCTAAGTCATTGGTCTTGCAATGCTTCATGGTCGAGACTCGGTCGAAATGTGCCTTCTACCACTTCATCTTGGAATAAGCTTTTCATCACCCAACCATTGGTCTTTCGAACTCGCCTCAAACTTCAATTCATTGGAGCGTTGAAATTACAGCTAACACTTTTACAGTTGCATCTTATTTATCAATAAAATTAATCAAATTTTTCATAACTTTAAGGTACGCATGAGGCCTACTTGTATCTCGTTACTTTGTGCAGTATCAAGGAAAGCTTAACATCAGTTCAACGGGCCTATATCACATGCATCCCATTCAAGGGGGCATTGGATATATCTAATAACTTCTCAATCTTAAGGTTACAGATAAGTGCCGCAGTGGGAAAAATTGAGATTAAGTTATTGATTAACTTAACTAAAAAAACAAGAGTCGTCACCGAACTTTATTGTTTTCAAAGGAAAGAGAAAATATCGAGAAAACCCAACACGAAAAATAAAACCAAAGAGAGATCTAGATACAGGGGTTGGTTATGCAAGGGGAAGGTATTATCACCTCTCACATCTATGGTACTCCGTAGGAATCTCTTGAAAATCTACGTTATGACAAAAACTGGATTGTTTGCAAAAGGATTGGAGAGATGGGAAAAGAAGTATTTTTCTTATATTTTTACTCGCCAAGACTTCAAGAGTCTGTGCCTAGGTATCCTCATAGTGCAATAAGGAAATCAGAGCCTCGTAGTTTATGGTAAAAATGACCACGGAAGTTTGTTGATTGATTTTAATTGAAAAGACATTTCGTCGTATTCAAATGGAAAACTCAACTTACTACCCACAAGTATGAGTAAGAAGCATTTTCATCATCTTGATATGGAGAACTTTACTTGGATTTTTCAGCAAGTAAGTGTGATACGGTGGGAAAGAACTGACTGTTTTTGGAATGCTGGTTCTTGTTTTTGCATTTGTTTTCGCAAAATGTCGCAGTAAGTAAGAGTCGCCACTGTCTTTTATTTTATCAAACAAGGAAAGAAAAAAAGCACAGAAAAATTCCTTTTTCGAGATGTTTCTCGGGTCCGGGGGGTGGATTATAGAAAGGGAAGGTGTTAGCACTATTTCTATCTGTGGTTATCCACGGGCTCTTAGGTACTTGCTCAAAGTGTTTCCAAAAATTGCTTTCTTTGTGTTTTTGGTTTTGAAAAGAGTTTTTTGTTTGAAAAGGAGTGTGAGTGTGAAAATTTGTTTTATTTTGAAAGAGCAAGTACTTAAGAACCATCTACCTACTCGAAAAAGGAATTGTTCTATGCTAATGTCCTTTAGACAATGCTATCCCACTATGAATGAGTAGGTAGCACCGTCGTTGGAGTTTAAAGGTCAATTCGATTAAGGGACGTGCGGTCACTAAAGCAATGTTAGGGCGCCTTAGCGGTAACCCTAATGTCTTAGATCATTTTTTCGAGGCAACCATTTCGAGGCAACTATGATCTTTGTACAAGAGGGCGGCCTCTAAAGTGACCTATACTCAATGACCGCGTTCGAAAGAAACCAAGTGAGGTGTACCCTAAGAGTGCGCATGTGCGAGTGTGTTGTTTTCAGTTAATTTTGTCTTTGTACATGTCAATGGTTATCTATGTTGATTTTAGGTTTAAACATTTGATCTTGTCATGCATTCCCTATTACCAAACATCTAACAGTTTATAAGTTGCAGAAATTAAATTATGGAAATTAAGCTAACTATTACAAGGCGTCGGGTATTTACATCGCCAAAAGCAACCCTTGAAATTAAAATGCGGAAAGATAAATAAAGCGATAAAAATAGTCCTAATTAAGCTATTACATTCTGGAAACAGATACAATATTGAATAAAATGGCACGCGTGCGGGAAATTAAATCGGGCGAGTTCTAGGGTTTTGACCCTTTGTTTATTAAAGAAAAGATTTTTTAGTTTATTTTTGAATTAAAAAAAAGAAGTTAAACTAAGTTAATTATTAAATTAATAAGCTAATTAATTAATTAATGAAAATAATATTTTTGGGTTTTTGGTATTTAAGGAAATAAAAATAAATTTGGTCAATGTTAATAAAACCTAATTGTCTAAGTTAATTTTAATTATTACAAAATATATTTAAAGTTATTCCTAATTAAAGCTAAATTAATTAAATTAATTTTATTAACAAAAATAAAATACTGAAATTTAATTTAAATAAGAAAATATTTTTTGGTTTTTAATTTTAATGAAAAAAGATTT